GTGGGGGGGGGGAGGCCGCCCTCTGCCGCGCCTCGTCTCCCCCAGGGGGCCCTGACCGCAGGTCCCTCTGCCCTCCCCACAGCTCTCACCTGTGCGCAGTTCCATCCCGATGGACTCATTTTTGGAACAGGGACCATGGACTCTCAGATCAAGATCTGGGACCTGAAGGTAGGATGCGGGGGCCTCCCTCAGGCCCCAGGGTCAGAGCTCTGAGGGCTGCTCAGTGCGATCACGTGCTTACGGCCTCTGGTCCGGGGGCTCTCCCGGGGTGGGGAGGTGGTGGCTCTGTGTGTGTCACGTGGTTGGGGTGGTCTGGGGTCTTCGGGCTGGGCCCCCCACCCCTGCTCTTCCTGCTGGCCGCCCTTCTCCCAGAGATGGGCAGGGAGACTTCCTAGAGGTGGGCGTCTGGTGAGCTTCGTTTCCTCCCTCTCACGGCCTGTGGGTGACGTTCACTCGCCGCCCTCCGTCTGCAGGAGCGCACCAACGTGGCCAACTTCCCCGGCCACTCGGGCCCCATCACCAGCATTGCCTTCTCCGAGAACGGCTACTACCTGGCCACCGCGGCCGACGACTCCTCCGTCAAGCTCTGGGATCTGCGGAAGCTTAAGAACTTTAAGACGTTGCAGCTGGATAACAACTTTGAGGTGTGTCCCCCTCCCCCATGTCTCTCGGTTTCATCCTCGCTTGTCCATGATTCACTGAATTTGTCTTCACTCCCAATTGCCCCCCAGTTTCTGTTCCCCTTGTGTGACTTCTGCTCTGGCTCTGGCAGGTGAAGTCGCTGATCTTCGACCAGAGCGGCACCTACCTGGCCCTGGGGGGCACGGACGTCCAGATCTACATCTGCAAACAGTGGACAGAGATTCTTCACTTCACAGGTAGAGGCTGGCCCTGGGACCCTGGGTGCTCTGGGTGCTCTGGGTGCTCTGGCCCAGAGGGAAGTGGGGCAGTCGCACTGGGTGAGGAGTTTCGAGGGGCCGGCATTAACCTGCCTCAGCAGCTTTTAACCACTCCCCGAGGCAGTAGACTGTAGTGACTGAGAAGATGGACTCAAGAGTCAGGGAGCTTGGCTTTACATGCTGGCTCTGCCTCTGCAGGCTGTGTGACAGAGAGCAAGTTACTTAGTCTCCCTGGGGCTTGATAATGGTACGTACCTAGTAGGGTCGATGTGAGGCTTAGATGAGTGCGGGTATGAGTGTGTTAGAACAGTGTCTGGCACATAGAAAGGATCCGCCATCGTCACCATTCAGTCTTGTGTCCTAGTCCTTTGTGGGATTAGAGCCGTGAGTACGAGAGGTCGGGTCTTCACCCTAAGGGAATTTCTAGTCAGGCTAGGAAGGCAGGGGTAAGTGACTTCACAAACAGTTCATTGCGATGGTAAGTGCGAGAGAAGAAAGGCACAAAATGCCGAGACAGTGGATAACGGGTTCTCCAGCCTCCTGACAGCCATATGGCCCTGGGTGCATGGCTTTCCCATCAGTGTTGCAGCTTCTCTATCTTTAAAATGGGTGTGTAGGTACTGGTTTGCAGATTGTGCCAGCTGGTGACTCGGGGTGGCATGCATGGTGACGGGGTGCCTGCTGCACACTTGGGAGCTGAATGACTGGCAGCGGCTGCTGTCTCTGTTGCTAGGATTCTTGCCCCCTTTAGCAGGTTGTGGGCAGGACACCAGATACTTTCCCAGCCGCATGCGCTCCCGACCCTGCCCAGTGTGTGGTGTTTCAGAGGCGTCCCGGCCTAACCGTCTGGCCCGTGGGTGCGAGCGCTCCCTGGACCTGGTGTTGCGACGTGGAGCCGAGGGAGGCGGAGTGGCAGGCTGGAAGCCAGGGGGCTGTAGTGGGGAGCTGGCTGGCTCCGGGGGTGACCCTAAACTTGCCCGGAGAAGGTTGCACTGATGTTCATGGACTGCCCGAGTGCTGTGGGGAGTGTTGCCCAGCCTCCTCTGCCCCCACCCCAGCCCTGCCCTGTGTTCGGGGCCCAGGTTCCCTGGAGCCGGAACCCCAGGAGCTAGAACAAGCTGATGGGCTGTTCCAGTTACATGCGAAGAGTTAGAACTAGATAGGTCCCAATAGGCTGATTACCGAGGTTTAAACTGAGCTGAAAACTCAGCTAAATTTAAAAAATAACAAGTGCAATGGGGCGAACGGGACTCTGCATGCTTCGTGGGTCAGTGATCTCTGCGCAGCTCACGGTCAGCTCCAGCACCCGAGCAGAATCGCAGTCGCCTCCAGAGCTTAGGTGAGGGGAGTGGATAGTCCTCCATTCGAGTGAAATGCCCACCAGCCAAACTCCAGTGCCAGCCCTGTGCATATGCCAGGCCCTGCGTGAGGCCCTGCAGGTGAACGCTGTGCAGTAGGCTGGAGCCCTGCCCGCGGGAGTGTGCAGCGGGAGGGAAAAAGACAAGTCAGGTGCACCGTGGTAATGAGCGCTGGGGGCGGGACTGGATGGGAAGGGAGAAGCCTCTCACCGATGCCTCTTGTTTCTCTCCTCAGAGCACAGCGGCCTGACCACAGGGGTGGCCTTTGGGCACCACGCCAAGTTCATCGCTTCCACGGGCATGGACAGGAGCCTCAAGTTCTACAGCCTGTAGGCCCCGTCCCTTCCGACAGGAGCTGGGCCTCATCTCAGTGGTGGGGTAGAGTTAGGGTTGGGGTGGGGGGAGGACGGGGAGAGACTACTGGGGGGGAGGGGTCCACGGGTGGGGCGTTCACATCATTTCACTCTGGTCTGGGTGGTGGCCCAAGAGCCGTGGTGTCCTGGGCTGCCCTCCTCCGTGCAGCCCCCAGGCCTGACGAGGGCGGACGCGGGAGGCAGCCCTGCCCCCTCCCAAGGCTCAGGGCGGAACCCAGGCCTCTCCCCTCGTGTGGGTCACTGATGGTGGTGGCCGTTCCACACCCACCTGGTTTCGGTTCCCGGGAGACGGGGACCAGCCGAGCCAAGGGAACTGAAGGGATGGGCGCGAGGGCTCACGCAGGGTTTTGTAAGCAGTGATCTAGTTTCATTAAAAAAAGAAAACGATAAACGTAGCCCCTCCCTGTGTGTATCTGTAGCAGGAACACGGGCGCAGGGCGGGTGGGAGGGGGGGTGCGCTGCAGGGTGTGGGCGTTTGGCAGCCTGGCAGTCACTCGCACCCCCCCACCCCTTTTTAAAAATCGCACAACAGAAGTCAGAGAAAATGAAAACAAACCTGACAAGCCGTTTGCCAGAACGTGTCTTCGTGGCCCTGGACATGTCGCTCGTGCTGCCACTTACTTGCCTGGCAGGGAGGGAGAGGCGCAGGCAAGATGGCCTTTTCTTGCCGGTGCGGTGCGGAGCTGTGGGCGTGTGAGTTGGAAGTGGTGGGAAGCCTGCCCCCGGCTGGCTGGAATCAGAACGGAGACTTTGTGACCGGCATTTGGAAATCGGAAGGGGGCTGGCTCGAGGGGAGACGGCCAGTAAATCGTAAAACAAAATGCACCACGTAGGGAGGCCGGAGTGGTCCAGGTGTGGGAGGGGGGATAGGAAGGCGGCCAGCGTGATGACCACCAGGTTGGCCGGGGAGGTCCGTGGTCCGCAGGAGCAGTCCCAGCTGGTGTTGGGTGGAGCCCTGACGGGACGGGTTACGAGAATGTGGGCGGAGGCGTGGGGGTCAGTGACTGCAGGTGAGGAACGTGCCAGGAAGGGGGCAGAGGCACGGTGGTGCCTGGAAAGGGCTGTGGGTCGAAGCAGGGTCCATACTGATGCAACAGAAGACCCCCTGCCTGTGTGTGTGGGCTGGGTCCGTGGTCAAGTCAGTTCGGGCATGCTGAGCAGCCAGTAAAACCTTTGAAAACTCCTGCAGGAAAGAAACCAGTTCACTATTTAACCCAGTTCTCGAATATTTGACCTGGGAAGCCTTTATGTGTATCTGCGACCCCTGTAAACTGTCCACTGAACTCGCCTTTTGGGACCCAAGCCGGAGCTCCGTCGCCCGTCTGTGAGCAGGCCCGTGGTGAGCCTGCCGGCGCACGCAGCCGCCTGCTCGCTCGGATCGCCCGGCTGCCTTCCCAAGAGCCGGCGGGAGCGGTGTCGGGAACGCCGGGTCCCCGACATTTGTCAGTCTACATGGGTGTGGGTCACATGTCCTTCAGCTGCTTTGGGGCATTTATTTCTTAGGATTCGGAAAGTACCATGATCCTCCGTAAAGAGAAGAGCTTCGTGCTGTTCTCCCGAGCTGGGGCATACTTTGAGGAGGAGGGAGGGAACTGAGTGAAGAAGGAGGACTAGCAGGGCTGGGGCAGGGTGCACCCTGAGGCCGAGTGGGACCCCAGGGCTGGCACAGCCCTCGCCAACCTGACGGCTTCTGGCCAGGTCTTCGTGTGTGCTCCAGGTCTTCGTGCGTGCTCGTAAGGTCTGACCTTCCAGGAAACTGAAGAGGTGAGGGCGGGTTCCTGGGGGACCCAGGTGTGGGTAGGGGCACATGGTGTGTCCACTGTGTGTGTGTGTGTGTGTGTGTGTGTGTGTGTGTGTGTGTGTGTGTTTCTGCGGGAATGGGAAGGAAATGGCATGCGTGTTGAGGGGACCGGAGCCACAGCCCTAGAAGAATGGGTCTGGCCCGCGTCCTGGCCCCTGGGAGCCCAGTGGTTGGGTCACAAGGCTCTGAAGTCCTTCCGTGTCTGTCGTGTCCCCTCTCATGTCAGCAGAGAGTCGTGTGGGAGACACTGTGCATACCTTGTCTCCATTCTCAAAACAGCCTTGCAGTCCAGCGGCCCTGGGCGGTTTCGCTGCCCCCCTGTGGGTCCTCATGCCGCCTGTTCTGCCGTCAGGGTGGAGGGTGGGAGCTCGGACTCCAGACACGGGCTCCGGGCTTCGACCCTGGCTGTGGCGCTCCGTGTGGGACCTTGGGCAGGTTGTGTAACTTCTCTCTCCCAGTTTCTTCGTGAGGCGGGGGCGGGTGGGGGATGCTGTATTTAGTGCATTGATTGAGGGGATTAGTGTATGAGAAGCGCTTTCCGCAGTGACCGCTCATGGTCAGTGCCGCCTGTGTTTCTATTGCCGCTGCCCTTTCTGTTCCTAACACTCCTGCTGCCACTAGCGCCACTGCCACTTCTGTTCCTGCTACATTTTACCACCGCCGACACTTCTGCCAACACCGCTTCTGCTGCTGCTGCTACTTTGCTCTCCCTGGAGTCTCCTTCCCCAGGCAGGCTGACCCCGGGAAGCCCCTGGCGCCCGTCTCTGTCCTGGCAGGTGAGTGACCTCGCTCAGCCCTCGGTTTGCGGTTCACGGCTCTGGCATAGCTGCCACCGCGTTGCCTTGGAGGTGCTTGTGCATTTGTCTCCCAGCCAGACTTTTACCTCAAGCGTGGGGCCGTGTCCTCGTTGCTGTCCTGCCCCTTCAGAGACTCAGCCTTGGGGCTGTCTCCATGTCTCTCCCTGGTATGTAAGAGGAGGGGGATGATGGTTAGTCATTTCAACCAAAGTGGACTGTGGAGCTGCCACCTCCTGCCCGTCACAGCTCCAGGTTTGGGCTCAGCTGCCTTGTGGGTGGACCTTTTGGAAGGTGGTCTCAGATTCTAAAGGGTTCGTTCACCTTTCCTGGACCCATATCGTCAGGCTCACGAGGTTTGTATTTAGGGTCCGGGAGCAGTCTGTAGTCCCGGGTGTCTGAAGGGTGAGCGGCTGGAGGTGAGACCAGTGTGTACTGCATCCCACGTGCACGTGAGCCCTCGGAGGACCCCCGCCCCAAGCCCCCTGTCCCTCCACTGTTGAAGGAGAGGGCCTGGCAGCGTTGTCAGTCTCAGTGCACTGTCCAAGGCAGCCACCTGGGGGCACTGCGGTCACACCAGCCTGTCCCAGAACCTTGGCCCCGGGGCTGAGCTTTCTGCACTATAGGACAACCCTGCCGCAAAGGCACCGGTTTTCTCCCCGTTCTGCAGCACAGGCACTGTTTCCCGCTCTGCAGATGAAACCAGCTCAGGGTGCCTTGGCTTATGGCCACCCAGCAAGTGCCAGAGCTGAGGTTTTAAGCCGTCCAACCTCAGAGACCAAGCCAACTACCCCATGAGCAGCTAAGACAGGAGCGGACAGCTGGTGGCCCACTCCAGTTTCCTAGGAGTGTAGAGTTGCACTTAGCCGTGGGCTCCGGGAGTCCGAAGCCCCAGCCTGAATCCCAGCCCTGCAGCGTTCCACGGCCGGTGTCTCTGTGCCAGTGTCTGCCTCTGCAGGCGCCCACAGAGCTGATCCGATCTGTGGGGCAGGGGCGAGGACGGCACACAGGGAGCGCTCTGTGGCTGGGCACTGGCCTCTGCTGCTGCCAGCGCTGGCGTCCAGCGACACTGCCAGGGGCATGTGGCCCTTCACTCCCAACACCTGTGTCATTAAGGTTTGGTCGGCCTCTGCCTTCTTCGCTCATGAACGCTCTGATGATACCAAGTGGCTGGAGCCTGATCCAGCCGGGAGGTGGGGCTGTGCAGACGAGCACGCCGTGGAGCTGGAGTTCTGATGGGGCGCCACCACGGGTGGGGGGTGGCGCCGTTTTGAAAGTCAGAAGCTGGGGGAGAGGTGACTGGCTCATTTTGAAGAAGTAAAAATTCACTAGGTGGACACAGCAGAGGAACAGAGGAGGGGTGGCTGGTGTAAGGAGAGGCCTTGCTGAAGTAAGGAGTGCTGAGAGCACACTCAAGGCCAAAGCCTGGAGGGGAAAAGAGACAGCGGGGCAGCTGAGGGCAAGAACGTTGGGGGAATGCCCAACAGGCTGTATTAAGGCCACGAGGTCGCTGGCCTCAGCCAACAGCGTGAAGTCTCAAATCCCACCTGAAGGTGTTCAAAATGTGGAACAGGTCTTCAACATCTCAAGGTGTTTTTTTTTTTTAATTGTGAAAGACTCATTTAAAAGTGTCTACAATATGCCTTTTCAGTTTAAAGAATAGTAAGCACCCTTGTACCCAGCACCCAGCTTAAGAAAGACAGTGTTGGGGGCCTCTGTGCTCCCAGGAAGGACCCCCCTCCCTTGCAGAGGAAACCACTGTCTGGGAATCAGGGTTGATCATTTTTTTTTGCTTTATGATTTCACTGCGGTACTGGGAGTGGGGGGTGGTTGCTTATTTTTTGAGTTTATGGAAATGAAACCATTAAACGTGCTCTCTGACTTCCTTCGCTCAACATCGTTCCTGAAATCTACCTGTATCGACACACACAACTGCGGTTCACTCACGACTGTGCTAATGAAAGCAAGCAGCCGAGCAGTTCCCTCTAGGCAGCGGGACCAGCACGCACTGGAGACGGCAGTCACCCGGAGGTGCGGTCCTGCCTGGCCCTTCGTCGGGGCAGTGCATGCTGGGAGAGGCCAGCTCAGGGTGCCTCGGCTGACTGGGCTGTGGTGCTCTCAAGCTGCATGGGTAGAAAACACAGCACGTCCTCTGTTGTCATCAGGGAAGGAGCACAGCAACATTACAATGTGGCAGCACCGTGGTCCCAGCCCTTGTCTGCCAGCGCCGTGCTGTGTTTGGGGGTTTGCACTGGCCTTCCTCCAGCACGATCGAGTGTCTTGGGCCCAGACTGTGCGGTGGCAGCTGCTCATGTGACTGGCCAGCAGCAGGAGTCACCGCACTGCACCCATGACTGGGGACGCACCAGCCCCAACTCGGACATCGTTAGGGGCTGAGGGTCCGAGCTCTGTAACTGCCCAGAGCCCTGGACACTCGGCAGTGGCTGGAGGCCATGGAGCCTTGAAAGAGGCCAACTCCTTTTCTGGGAGGCCAGCCTGCAAAGGGTAAACCTCGGACAGGTGAACCTCTCGTTCGTTGTGGAATTCCGTCATAGGAACGTACCCACAATGCTTGTATTTGTATGTCCTGTTGGCGATGGACCTGAAAGTTGTTCCTCTTTTTTTTTTTTCTTTTGCTATTATAGACAATGTTTCCATGAATGTGCTGGTGCAAGAGTTTTCCCTAGGATAGTAACCTAGGAGAGGATTTACTATGTAGATAGTACAGGCAATGACACATATTTCCACATGGTCGTACCAGTTTACACTGACCAGCAGCTGTTGAGTGCCTCTGTCTTTATACCCTCGCCAGTCCTTAGTGTGTTAATTTCCACCAGTCTGGGGGGCATGTAATAATAGTACCTGGAAGTTTGCTCCTCACGGCCATGACCACTGACGAGGTCGAGCATCTCATCACTCACAGGCCACGTGAGTTTATCTTTGACAACGTGTTTCCTTGTGTCCTTTGACTGTATTCCTGTTTTGATTGTGTTGTTTTTTCTTATTGATCTGTGGCAGGTTTTATATGTATATACTTTTTTTTTTTTTTGGATAACGATCCTTTGTCAAAGTGTTGCAAGTATCTTCCCAGTTTGTGCCTTGTCTTTTGGCTATGGTGTCTCATGGTTCTGGTTTTGGGAAATGCTGGTATTATTTGTGATTTCCTGAGAATTTCCTTGAGACTTAGAAATCACATCCTTACAGAAAGAATTTGCCATGGCTTCTGTCTGAAGCCAAGGGATCACTTTAATTTAATTGTCACCCTGGGATTACTTTAAATTAAAGTCAGCCCTTGCGTTTTTTCCAAACTGAACTTTTGAGAGTCCCCCCACCCCCATCCTCGCCCCCCATTCTAAGAATTTGGACTGCACTCCCCAGTGAAGAGGAAAGTTTTTCTTTTAATTTATCCAGCACCAAGATCGAGACAGGCTCCCTTGCCACCCCTCCTGTGCAGGGCGTGCACCTCCCCTCCAGTCCTGAACTGAGCCCCAAGCCCCCCGCAGCCCCAGCTTTGGGAGCAGCCCTGCGCCTACACTCCCCACGGTCGGCCTTCGGCTGGCTCTGCACTCGACCTGCGGTCCCCTGTGCGCGTCGAAGCGGAACGTCAGGGCCCGCAGGGTTCCGTGGAAGGCCCGGAATAGAAAGGGAGTGTCCCTCGAGTTCCTGCTGTTACTTTATTTTTGTCCTGGGTGCACATCATTTTTTTTTCTTTTCCATGGTAGCTCAGCGAAGAGTTCAACATGTTTTTAAAATGTATCTGTATAATCCGTCCTTGGGTGCACAGCAGAAGGTCCATCCGGGTCTCCCGCCTTCCTGCCGCGGGGACAGAAGTGGCGCCTTCACGGGAAACACGCTCACCAACACGCCTGGGCGTGGGGCCACAGCCTAAGCAGCTCGACCTCACTCACGCCAAAGTAGTCTCCCTGTTTGTTTAAGGCAACGCGCCGTGGCGGCGGTGTGATCTCAGTCACAGTGTAAGTAGGAAGGAGCCTGGGGTTTGGTGGGGGCGGGGGGGAGACCCTTGGGTCCCACCTAGCTGTGGCCACTGCCCCTGCCCCCTCTCCGACAGGGCAGGAAGAGAAAGCCTGGCAGGCCCCCGAGCAGCCCTGCTTCCTGCCACAGGTCAGCGAACGTGGTTTGTTATCACCCCATCACGTCTGACTCACATGTTCTCGGGGCTCACTCAGGTGCCTGTTTGTGTCAGCAGGTGGTTTTAGGGGAGGGAGGGAGTTTTAAGTTGGACAAAATTCGGGCTAGATCTTGATATTCAGCAAAGTCAGCTTATACTGCTCCCTGGAGGGAAGTGGCGGGGCCAGCTGGTGCTGCAGGTGCCTCACTGTTTCTGCACGCAGACGCTTTGACGTGGAAATGCAGAGAAAAAGTTACGTGCAGCTTGTCAGTTCCCAAAGTGACCTTTCAAAGCTCTTGTACCTGCGGAACCTTGATAGCAGGGAAACATGTGCACTGCCACAGGGGTGTCGTGACGAGAAGTAAATGGATGCTTTAAAGATTATGGAGGGTAAGGGAAGGTCTTGGCCACATTCAAAGATAGAAATAATGAGGGAGAAATAAATACTCGCTGTTACAAAAGTCTCTCAAACAGCAGGATGGAAGGGCCCCACACAGAACGCCCAGTGGCCGACTCCATCATGGGGAATGTGTAAGATGAGGATGTTGACCCCTTAGTTAGTGAAAGCTCTTTACAGACAAGGAAAGACAAGTGGCTGTAAAGATGGTTGGCTTCTAATCGAAGAGGTCTATTTTAGAGTTTATTTTTAGAGAGAGGGGAAGGAAAGTTGAAAGAGGAGGAGAGAAATAGCCATCTATTGCCTCTCATGGGCACCCCGACCGGGACCGAACCGACGACCTAGGTGTGTGCCCTGACTGGGAATCAAACCGGCGACTTTTCGCTTGGTGGGATGATGTCCAACCAGCTGAGCCACACTGGGCAGGGCAAAGAGGTCCGTTTTAGGTCAGCAGTGCTGTTTGCCTTATGGTAGTCCGATGGGCAAAGATTCAGGACGATCCAGTCCGTGGTGGCCAGGCTGTGGGAGAACAGACCTGCTCTGTCCCAGAGCCGGATAACCAGGAAGGGGGACGCGGTTTTGGGCCCAGCAGTTCTCAGAATTTACTCCAAGAAGACAGTATACAAAGAAGTACGTGCTGACATAGTTGTGTTCAGTACTTGTTATTCTTAACAGACTTGAATGTGTAATTTCCATTAAATGTATAATTTAACCGCATTATGGGGGAAAGTTCATTAAAAATAAGGAATGAATTTCTGGTCAGGGTGGAGGCATAGGCAGACACGCTTTGCCTCCTCACGCAACCACAGAGAGAATTACGACTAGCTCTCAAAACAACTAGAGCTTTCAGGAAATCAAACTGTATGGAAGAAGTCTGGCCACTAAGGATTTAAAGGAGCTGCACTCATCCAGACGGGTAGGAGGAGCGAGTCGCAGAGGTGTGCGGTGACGTGGTGCAGTGCAGTGAGGCTGGGGCAGTGGGCGGGTCAGGTGGCCCCACACTCACACGAGGTGGATGAAAACTGGGAGGGATACCTTCGGGGTGAGAGGTCCCAGCCCCAGACCAGACCACCCAGCCCAGGGTTCCTGCACGGGGAAGATAGATCCCCATCACTTCTGGCTGTGGATACACCAGTGGGGACTGGGGCGGTGGAGGAAACTGCCAGATTTTCAGGAGAGTGCACTTAAAGGGCCCACGCAGACTTAGAACATGCACAAACCCACCCACTCTGGGATCCACCACCAGGGCGACAGCTGGAAGGGCACCAGGCACGCACAGGAAGTGGGTGAAGCGACTGGAAATGGGGCCGGTGGCAGGCAAACCCCCAGAAGCCAGGCAGCAGCACTGTCCCCTCGCTGAGCCCTCCCCCACACAGAGCCACAGGGCAGTGAAGCAGGTCGCCCTGCCCTGGCGAGCACCTAAGGCCGCCCCACACAACTTACAGGTGCCTTTTCTAAGACGGGGAGTCAAAGCAGCTCTGCCTCAGACACAGACACGAACACAGGGAGGCTGTCGAATTGAGGAGACAAAGAAACATGGCCCAGATGAAAGAACAGAACGAAACCCTAGAAAAAGAACTAAACTGAATGGAGAAAACCCACCTATCAGATGCAGAGTTCAAAACACTGGTGTGATCAAGATTCTCAAAGAAATTGAATATGGCAAAAACATTAAGGGAAGAAATGAAGGCTACACTAAGTTGAAATAAAGAAAAGTCTACAGGGAACCAACAGTGGAGGGGCTGAAGCTGAGAATCAAATCAACAATTTGGAACACAAGGAAGGTAAAAGCATTCAATCAGAGCAGCATGAAAAGAATTAAAAGATGAGAGGCTTAGGAATCTCTGGGACAACTTTAAATACACCAACATCAGAATCATGGGGATGCCAGAAGGAGAAGAGGAAGAGCAAGAGATTGAAAACTTATTTGAAAATGTAATGAGAGAAAACTTCCACCATTTGGCAAAGGAAATAGACATACAAAATAGACATACAAGTACAGGAAGCTCAGAGAATTCCAAAGAAACTGGACCCAAGGAGGAACACACCAAGATACATCATAATTGAAATGCCAAAGGTTAAAGATAGAGTCTTAAAAGCAGCAAGAGAAAAAGTTACCTACAAAATGGTTCCCATGAGAGTAGCAGCTGATTTCTCAAAAGAAACTTTGCAGATAAGGGACTGGCAAGAAGTATTCAAAATGATGAAAAACAAGGATCTACAAGCTAGACTACTCTACCCAGCAAAGCTATCATTTAGAATGGAAGGGCTGAGAAAGTGCTTCCCAGGCAAGGTAAAACTAAAGGAGTTCATCATCACTAAGCCATTATTACGTGAAATGTTAAAGGGACTTATTTAAGAAAAAAACCAGGACTATGAATATTAATAGGGCAACAAATTCACAATTATCAACGGCTAAATCTAAAAAACAAACTAAGCTAACAACCAGAATAGAAATGGAATCATAGATGTGAAGATCATTTGGAGGGTTATCAGCTGGGAAGGGAAAGGGAAAGAATGGGGGGAAAGGTATAGGGAATGAGGAGCATAAATGGTAGGTGCCAAATACATGGGGAGGTTAAGAATAGTATGGGAAATGGAGAAGCCAAAGAACTTACATGCACAACCCATGGGCATGAACTAAGGGGGTGGGTTGCTGGAAGGAAAGGGGGTACCCAGCGGAGGCAGGCAAAGGGCAAAAAATGGGACAACTGTAATAGTACAGTCAACAAAATACATTTTTTAAAAGGAAAAACAAGATGTCTGTCTCAAAAACAGAGAAGTCAGCTATGTGATTCTAACCAGTATTTATAGAACCGTGCTTTGTGTCAACACCGCACGGATGCCATTTATAGAAGCACCTTCTGTGCTGCACATGGTGTGTGCTGCAAGGGTGTGGTAAGAAGGAAGCGCTGGAGCTGGCAGAACCAGAACCCCGACGTCTAAGAGCAAGCCAGTCTGGCTCCCCCAACCCACGAGCAGGCCAAGAACTCTCACCGACTTCACGCTAATCCTGAAGAGTGTACCCTGTAGTCCCTGCCAGGCCAGCAAATTGGACAGAGCTGTCACCCATCCCTAGCCGCAGATGGGGACAACAGTTCGGGATAAGGGTGTTACTCAACCGGCTTCCATAGCAAGGGCCCGGATATTCTGGCCCTGTTCTGCTGCCCCCAGCTAGAACAGCCTGAAGGCAGCAGTTTCCTGCAGCCCTTCCTCGTCTTGGGCTGTAAACTTGTCAAGAAGGAAGGAAGGAAAGAGAAAGAGAGGAGAAAGAAAGATGGGAAGCATCAAGTTTGGGGTAGGAACAAGAGGACATTCTAGCAGTGAACAGCAGTCAGTAAATGTTGGCTAACGGTTCTGTAGTGCCCCAGGGGTCCTTGCCTACTACTAACTCCTTCCCTCTAACGCCCTTCTGGGGAGAGGTACCACTCCCACTTGCAGATGAGGAAGCGGGCCCAGGAAGGTTCAGTAAGCCCTTGTCACCCAGCTGCTAGGGGACGGAGCCAGGGCTGTTAACTGGAGCAGCCTGGCTCCGGAGTCCCTGCCTTTGATCAGTGCCCTGAAGACGGAAGAGAGGGAAGAGGCCAGAGCAGGGGAGCCCTGCACCGTGTCAAGGCCACTGGTCTGGCTTGAGCACTACAGGGTCCTTTGTGTGGACCCTCTCAGCTCACGCCCCACCAAAGGCCCGGGAGGGTGTCTGACTTCCCCACCAGGTATTCTCTGCCCACCAGAGGCTGAGCCCTTCACCTTCCCCACCCCCACCTGCAGCCTAGGTCCCCATGTCAGTCCGGAGAGGCCTTGGCTGCCGAGCCAGAGAGGAAGGCCATGCCATACGTGGGCAAGCAAAGGTCAGCACCCAGCCAGCGCAGCACTGACTGGTCGGGGGGCCATGCTATCCACACTGTGCTGACCATGCCTGTGTGGCTAGTCCAGGGGGCCCAGGGAGGGGGACGGAGGCTGGTGGTCAGAAACGTAGCCCCGCATCCTTTAGTGGGAGGCTGGGGGCTCTGAGCAGGACTCGAAGGGCTCCTTCAAGCCAGGTTTGGTTGTTTTGGGCCCTGGGAACCCTGGGTTCCCCTTGTCTGCAATGGCAGCCAAGCAGCGTGCTTCGAGGGCGCCCAGCGAGGACTTCCGTGTGTCTGCGTGGACGGGGCAGGTCCTCCCAGGCCATGAGCCCTGCCAGGTGCCCAATTCCCAGCTCCTGTGACTCATGACTCGGCCACGAGTTTACCTTCCTCCACCTTGACCTGTCTGTCGTGTGCGCGCTGCCTGGAGTGCCACCCTTCCGCACTGACACGCAACGCCTTCCAGAGTCAGGCCCGGGAGACGTGGGGCTCTCCCCGGTGGAGGTGACAGGGGCAGCTGTGCAAGGACAGAGCCGACCCCACGGAACACGGTCTACGACAAGAAGGATTTCTGCCCTAGTCTTTACAAAGAGCGTTGCACACCGGATTTCAGTGGGCTGGAAACGATGGTTTATTGAGCCCGTTCGCCCTCTGTCATTCCCTGGAGCCTCCGGGCCTGGGCCTGATGCAGGCCCACGGAGACTCCAATCCCGAGGACCAGGGCAGCTGCCGCCAGCGGAAGGGCCACCCAGAGGAGAGGCCTCGGGTCGGAGTTCCGGGTGGAGCCTGCGGGGAGGAGGGTTTGAAGGAGGTCAGGGCTGGGTCTGTGTGACCTCAGGGTGGTGCTGACGCCGATGGCCCTGGCCTGTCTTCCCTGTTCCCGCCGAATGAAGTTACACTGTCTTCTGCCCTTACTGTTGCCTGAGCTTCAGTTTTGTCAACACACCCTGGGTGGCCCAGGCCGGAGGAGCCCACCCACAGGCCCTGGTACCTGAGGGCCCCAGTGTAGTTTCCTTCCTGTAAGAATCCACAAAGCCCACTGGGCCTGGAGAGCTCACAAGGTCCTGCGGCTCAGCCATGTCATCCCTGGGGGGGCTTGAGGACCGCCGCTGTCCTGCCCAGGGGAGGAGCCATGTCTTGGGATGGTGTCCAGGCCCCTGGTGGCCCAGAAGCTGGGCCCAGATACATGCAAGAATGCAGAACACCTCCCCGCCCCCTCCCCCTCCAGACTCACTGGTGGTCCTAGAGCCACAGGTGGTGGAGCAGGTCTCCAGCCCCGTGGGGGAGCAGGCAGAGGCGCTGCAGAAGAAGTAAACCTGGGGGAGAGGAAGGTGGGGACCTGGGGCTGGTGCGGCGCCCGCCCGGGGAGGAAGCACCGAGGCAGGGACAGAGGACCCAGGACCCAGGCGGGGTGGTGGGGGGAGCATCTGGGCACGTGGACCCGGACTGAGAGGCAGCCCCTGCCCAGGAGCTGCAGAGGCACAGGGCTGCACCCCAGTTGGGAACACAAGCTGTTCTCCTTCCAGATGGCCCGGGTCCTCCTGGGTGGGAACCGCTGCCCTCAGCGGAGCCCCAGCCCTCGGCCTGTTGCACCAAACACCCCCCCCCCCCACCACTGCAGAGCCCTGCAGGAGGGCCCTCTTGCTCCCTGTGCTAGTGACTGACAGAGGGAATTGAGAGAAGGCGGGGCTTGACCAGGTCTGGCCCCCAGTGACTCCTCACAGAGGGCAGAGGGATGGACAGGGTCACCCTGCTTCCAGAAACACAGGGCCAAGGGCAGCTGTCAAAGGAGGAGAGTCAGGAGGACTCGACCCGAACAGTCTGCCGGAGGCCCGGCCCGTGGTGGGTGCCCCCTGGTCTAGCGGGTCAGGGCGCAGGAGGCTCAGGGAGAGGCTCGCAGCTGAGATGCGGGTTAAACCGTCCTCGGGTGCCGACCCGCGAGGTCTGTCTACATTGTGACGCAGTGAGGGCGCCGCCGTTTAAAATGCGGAGATCTGTGTGCGTTAATGTGAAAGACGTGCTGTTCAGCAGGATGAAAGTGACGGCTCTGCGCACCCTCGGTGCAGAAAACCTAAACATACCCGTTTATCCCTGTTGCCGTCTGGAGACGTTACCAGGGTATAGAAATTCAAAGCAGAGTTATGTCCAATACGTTGTTTCTAGAGTCCGAGTGAGGCCCCTCTCCACACTGTGACCAGCGCTCAGGGTTAGGGTCGATGGCCTTTTCCAGCCTCCCACTGGAGGTGCTTACCGGTCGCCTCTGGGCTTTGCGGAGGCCAGGACCTGGGCTCGCTGCCCTCCACCGTGCTTACGGAAACCACGCCCATCCGAAGCCTTTGTCTGCTTCAGCCTGGAGGGTGCTGGAGGGGCCCGGTGACCGCAGGCGAGAGGGACACGGGACAGAACACGGCGCTTCTTACCGGTCCCCTGAGGGCCCTCTGGGAGCCAGAGTCCAGGAACACGAAGGTGGCCACCGTGAAGCGCTGGTAGTGAGTTGGGAAAGGCAGCCGCGCCCCGTCCAAGGCTACCATTCGGGTCCTGTAGTTGTCACCTTCGAAAGGACACCTGGGAAGGAGAGAGGTGGGGGAAGTCGCCCCCTGAGGGAGAGGAGGCAAGCAGAGGGAGCCCTGGGGCGGCTGGAGCACCTGCCGCCGCTCACCCATCAGACAGGATGGGCCACTGGGGCTGCTGGAAGGGGTTGGCGCTGGGGGTGGCCCAGCACTGGTGCAGCACCAGCACCAGATGGGGGTCTGTCCCCTGCAGGAGCCGGACCTCCACGGCGACAGGCTCCAGGAGCAGCTTCACGATGGGGTAGTCCTTTTCCTCGTAGTAGGAGTGGAAATTCTCATCTGTGGGAAGAGGGGTCGTGAGCCTCGGGGCCGTGTGTCTGCCGCGTGGGGGCACAGAGCCGAAGCGCGGAGACACGGTACCTTTGGCAATCCGAAACTGGAGCAGCAGGGGGCCGCGCTGGGTCACAGAGGGTGGCGAAGGGAGTGGGAGGACAGAGGCCTGGAGGGGCAGGAAGTCGCTAGCATTGAAGATACAGCGAACATGGATCCTGAAGTTCAAGGGTGAGAGAATGGGGGCGAGAAGACAGAATCAGCGCCTCCTGCTTGCATAGCAGACCACGTACACTCACGATGTGGAAGCAACAAACAAGTCCCGGTCCATCAGGGCGGATGGATATCCCCCAAGTGATCGCTAGGGTGATGTACACACCTGCCCCTCTCCTCTGCCTTCCTCAGCTGTCCAGTACACCACCAGCCTGCCATGCCAGGCCCTCCTCTGGGGCAGGGCACAGCGGGATGGAGGCGTGGGGGCGGGGCGTGGGGGCGGGGCATGGGGCTGACAGACGCTCCCCTTGTTCGGACCTTTGAGGTTCCCTCGGAACCTGCCAGTCAAGCCTAACGGGCAGGCCTGGGTTCAAATCTTTTTCGTGTTCATGGGCTGTGGGACCACAAGCAAAGGGTTTAACCTAAGCCTCAGTTTCCTCCTTTGTAAAATGGCAATAACCCCCTCTCCCTCTGAGGGTGGCAACAGGATCACTAGGGTCACAAGGATGCACCCCAGTGTCATCGTTGTCCCTGTAGTTGGAGCTGGTCCCTCGCTGGGTCTGAGTCCCTCGCCGGGTCTGAGTCCCTCGCCAGCCTAAGGTGCCCCTGCGCAGTCTTGGCACAGGCACCCTGAGGTGTCCACGAGAGTCCTTGACCCCACCTGACCCCATCCACCTCACCCCAGGCTCCCGAGGGCTCTGCTCTCACCGCTACTTGTGGTGACAGGGCCCCGGGGTCCAGCCTGGGCTGGGGCCCCTGGAGGAGACATCCTGCAGACGGAGACGGGACTGCAGCTGAGTGGCTGCGTACAGGCACCAGGGATTGCTGCCCTGGGCCGCAGGCCTGTCCTCCCGGCGCCTCCCACCTGCTCCTGCTGGGCTGCAGCTGCTCCCCTTCCGGCTCCCTCCCTCTGGAAGCCCTGGCCCCCGGTTCAATGCTGGCTAGCTTCCCGAGCTCCGAACCCAGGAGTCTAATGTTGACAGCTTTGCCCCTCTCTCCCAACTGCCTTCTCCTGTAGGCACTTTTTGTTGTTTTTAAAGCAAAGGCACTTGACTGCTGATGCTAGCCCCTCGCCCCAGCCCCCATGGCAGGCAGGGTGGGCATCCGCTCGAGGCCGGGCACAGAATGTCTCCAACCCATGGCTGATGCATGAACTCTAGCACGGGGGCGGGGCGGGCAGGGCGATGTTGGTGCCTGGCCCTGGGGTACAGAGGCAGGTGTGACGAGCACAGACTCCCTGAGGGGCACCCCCATGGGCACCTGAGAGTCATGCCAGCTGAGTCTGCAGGCCCTGGCAGCCGCAGTCACTGAGGGGCCTTCCTCGGCTCCTCTCCCCACGGCACCCTCAGGCGGCCCCGGCCCCGGCCCCAGGCTCATCTGCCTCATCTGTGACTTTAGCTCCCAAGATCAGGAGGCAGCTGCGGCCTTGGGCCGCGGCCATAGCCTCACCTTCTTCCTAAGGCCCTGGGCGGGGAGCGGGGCGGTGGGGAGGGGGAGACACTTGCAGCCTCATTGGTGGTTGCTTAGTTGCTGAGCGTGGTTCTCAGAGGGATGAAGGGGGGAGCTTTGGAGGACTCTGGCCCTCTCAGGCACTGCTGTGGCTTCTACCTGGCCAGGTGTGGGCAGACTCCACTTTATGTTCCCAGTCGAGGCTGGGACGAGGCCCACAGCTGGCTAGTAGAACTTGAACATGAACCCCAATGGCTCTGTAGCCTGTTCTAAGCTCACCCATCGCCCTTCACTCCCAGGCTCACGGCCCAGCCTTCCCGAGGCAAGCGCCCCCTCACCGGAAGGTGCCGTCCCGTGTGATGGAACCCAGGGGTCCCCTTTGGACATCGATGACAGATGCCAGCTGGTTCTCATAGATGAGCTGATTGCCAACCACCTGTGGGAGGAGACAGCTGGGTGAGGCCCTCCCGGGGGCGGTAGTGCTGGGCACTGGCCCGTGGCCCCCGCGCCTACCTGGACTGTGGTGCCACAGCGGGTGAGAGGGAAGTGGAAGACCACGAAGGACTCGGTCTCCTGGGCCGGGGGGCAGCTGTCGGGGGCGTAGGCCAGGTAGACATTGGCCAGCGTGACCCTGTGGGCCAAGGCCATTTCTTGGGATACCACCAGGACCAAGTGGCCGTTCCTGAGGCACTGGACAGTCGCTGGGAGAAAGCAGACCACAGAGGCTGATCAGAACTTGGAGGTCAGTGTCCACCCAGCAGACACGGTGTGGCGGGGGGGAGCTGGGGACAGCCAGCGTGGGGGTGTCAGCCAAGAAGCCAGGATGCCTGGGTCCTCTCCTACTTGCCACTCAGGCTGTCGGCCTGAGCAAACCCTTCACAGACCCAGGTTTTCTCGTTCGTGGAGCCAACTGTTGAACTACAGTCTAAAAGGGAGATCACCATCAGACCTGTCATCCCAGCTGGGATGCTCTAATCTAAAAGGCAGGGGACACGTGGAACAGTGGATCTAGTAATGTTCCCTGGGACGCCCACCCAAAGCTGTTCTGCAGTGCACCCTGGGGTCAGGCTTTTCTAGGGAGAGGGCAGAGCGGGAAGCCCTCCTGGCGCTGCTTCGGCATTCAGAAGCGGAGACCCTGCTCGGCAGGGAAAGTGGTACCTGTGTTGCCATAGTAACAGGGAACATCTCTGGTGTTGTCATAGCAGCAGCCAGCCTGCTGACAGGCTTCCTTCGAACTCCTTTTCACGATGCAGGGGATGTGCCCGGTGCCCCCCTGACACTGCTCTGGGGTCAGGTTAGTCCCTAGGGTTGGTGACAGAGTGGGGAGGACATGAGAAGCAGCCAGGACTTCCAGGGGAAACGGAGGGAGGTGGCGTCTTGAGCCAGTAAAGGGCTGTCAGGCCACGTGACCCTCCGGAAGGTCCAGGACACAGGGCGTGTGCACACAGAGGGGTCCCACACACCTATGTAATCTGGCTCGGCAACCTCCCATGGCTCCCAGAGGCCTCCACGCCAGCGAGCCCAGGTGGGGTGCGTGGGTCCGGGCCCCAGGGACGGGGAGGCGGCGGCAGAGGGCGGAGGCACAAAGCGCTGCTCTGCGGTGGGGCCGAGGGAACCGGTGTGCGGGGTGGAAAGGGAGAGTGTGGTGGGTGGCGTCAGCTGGCCGTCCGGAGTCATCCAGGTGTGTTCAGGTTTGGGACAGACCAGGGTGACGTTTCGTGCTGTGTGGACACGGCCGTCGGGCAGCACCGCCTCCACGAGCACTCTCAGGTAGGAGCGCCCGTCCTGCAGGTGAGAGGGCAAATGGGAGAGCAGCTAGGTGAGGCCGCTCAGCATCCCGGCTGTGGAAGGTCCAGTCGGGTGTCAGGCACGGGGGGCTGCAGTTGGGGGTGGGTGCCCAGGACTCAGTCGCCCTCACCCGCCAGCTCACGAAGTGATCTCGGGTGCCGATGGGTCCCTGGCGCATGAGGGGCCCCCCAGCCCGACCCTGTGTTAGGCCACGCCGGCTCCCAGCGGTAGGTAGGTCTCCTCTCCCCCAGAGCAGGGAGTGGTCCCCACCTTCTCCAGCACGTGGCAGCCTTTGTAATCAGCAGAGAAGACCGCAGGCCCCCGGGGCTTGGCCGTGACCCAGTGGTAGCAGATGGAGCAGTTGTTCACCTCAAATTCGTTCCCAAATTCATCTGGGGTGGGGGAGGGAAGAGAGGGAAGGAGGGGAGGGGTCAGGGAGGCTGTTGGGTCTGCTGAGAAGACTCCTGACTCGGGAGCTGGAGACCGAGGGTCCAGCCTTAGCTTTGCCCTGAGCTTCCCCTGTGGTCTCCGGCCAGCCCCTTCCCCTCTCTGGTCTCCGCTTCCACATCTGTGAGGGGTTGGGCGGCCCCAGCTGGTCTCAGGCTCTTTCCAGCTTGGCTTCTCTGGCGACAGCACTCAGCCGCAGGAGGAATGAAAATATGCTGGAGAAATAAACAGGTCTTGGGCACTGGGCTGAGTGTTTTATATCAGTTCTTCCAAACTTAGTCATCGCAGCCTGGGGATGAGGCAGCTGAGGACAGCGCAGGTGAGCTCTCCCAGGCGCACGCAATGAGCAGCAAAATGAGGATTCGAACCTGGGAGTTTGTAGAAAGAGCTGAGAGTCTGTTTGCCAGGTTGACTGGCTGTTGCGGCCACTTCCCTTGGGGATACCGGCTCGGTGTTCACTCACCCGGTCGGCCCAGAACAGCCAGGGCACCCTCTGGGTGTGGTCACATCCCCTGCACCCGTGTTCAGCCCACATGGCAAGTTTGGGGCCATCTTCCCCACCTTATGAGCCTCAGAGAGGCCAGGTGGGCTGTTCAAGACCACACAGCTTAGAAGCTGCAGATGCAAATCCTGATTCGAAACTTTTCTCCCTTTTCCCCGCGGCAGGCCACACCCTGCCACTGAGAGGGCTTTGTGGACCAGCAGCTGGGTGTGGTCACAAATGCAGAACCAGGGCCCGCAGCTCAGCACAATGGCCAGGTGATTCCCTGGGCACCCCGGCCGGCCGACAAAGGAGAAGCTTCCCCGGGGCACACCACAAAAATTGAGGCTGGAAACCAGCCTTCCTCCCGCCGCCTCCCAGTGTGGTGGGGGTGGGGGTGGCCACCCTCAGGCTGCAGGGAGGCTCCTGCTCTTCCTGTTCCTGCCACAGGGGGAGGACCTGGCTCTCCACCGCAGTGCAGCCCAGGTTGGCGGGCCGGGGCCCGGGATTCAGCTGGCACTCACCCAGCACCTTGAAGCGAATGCTCTGGCCTTGCCTCGGGAACACCAGCAGCTGCATGCCCTTGAGTCCACAGTCGTAGCTGTGCTGCAGGCCTGGGACGCCAGGCTCGGGATGTGGCCGCTGACCCAGCCCCAGAGTGGCTAGCAGCAGCAGCAGCAGCAGCGGTGGCGGCAGCGGGGCCACGCAGTGACCCCAGGCCATGGCCAAGCCTCTTGCCATCAGGAACACCGTGGACCCCCGATATCCCCTCCCAGCCATGCCTGGCGAGGGCCCAAGACTTATATAGGGAAGGTGGCAGGTGTGAACTTCTAAGGGCAAAGGGGGTCCACCTGGAGGGGCGCTTACCCGGTAACCAGGGGCTCTGGTGAAACTCCTGCCCCGGAGGTAGGGGAAGGTGCCCTCCCAGCCTGAGGCCCTGAGGGGTTGCTGGGAAAGCAGCCTCTCACCCTGGCTTTCCTCCCCGCCCCGCAGCTGGGGCTGGTGCTGGCTCAGCTGAGGGGGCCGGGGGCTGGGTCCACAGCCAGGTGGTGTCCCTGCAGGCCTCAGGCCCACTGCCCTCTCCTCCCCGTCCCTGCCCAGTGAGCAGCCTGCGGTGGGCAGTGGGCCAGGCCAGTTTACACCTCATTCCTCAAGGCCGGCAGAACAGGCCCCCAGAGACAGGGCCCCGCCCTGAAAGCTTGCAGCTGGGGGGGGGCAGTGTGAGTTTGGGCGGGGGGGAGGGCAAAGGGGTGACAGGTGAGTAAGTTGCACCTCATATCGCTCTCCTGAGAGTTAGGGCAGCTCCTGTGACCAAGGTCATTACTAATAGAAACTAACAGGAAGGGACAACTAGATGTAACCTGGCCTTCTGGATGGGCTCCTGGGACAGAGAAGGGACATCAGGCAAAAGCTAAAGGCATGGACTTTCCTTAACACCGACGTATCGACCTCACGTCAGGCGGTCATCACAGGGGACGCTGCTTCGGGGTACCGGGGGCGGGGGCTCTGTGTGCTGCCCCCTTGGGTGTTCTGTGGACCTAGAACAATTCTAGGGAACGAAGCCCACTCACAACAACAAGGTGGCGACTGGCTGGCTTCCGCAGGCCTGGCACAGTCCTTGTGTCCTTATGGGCCGCCCTCCCAGGCTGTCTCCCCGCCGCTCCCCCCAGTTCCCTGGGCCCGGGGCCTGGCCGAGGAGTCCTGCGCAGCAAGTGCTAGCACCCGTGCGGCCAGGAGACTCTGAGGCGGTGGGTGGGCGTGTGCGGGGCTTGGACTGAGGGGTCCACCCCGAGCCCCAGTCGCGTCCAAGCTGGGAGGAAGACCCTTCATTTCCCCTTGTGCTGGGACCCCTGTGTGCGCCCTGAGGCCGACAATGCCTTTACCTTGCACAACCGCCCTTGTCCCCGGGCACACACACACTAGCTACTGAAGTTCTGCGGCACACCAAAAAAAAAACAACCCAACAAAAACCCCCCAAAAAGCAAACAAACAAACAAAAAAAGCCACCTTTTTCTTTGTGCCAATCTGACAAAAGCAGAAGGGTACAATTTTGATTTGTTCGCACCAGATGGCTATTGTTGTGTTGGCTGTTGTCACTGTTTCCACTTGACAGTCCAGGGGAAAGGAGGTCAGCATCCCTGACTGAACAGTCGAGTGTTGCATGTGCAAAGGAGGTTCCTGCAGCACACCGGGGAGCCGCCTTGGCCACACCGGTTGAAATTCGCTGTGGTGATGATCTACCGCTCAGATGGGGAAGCTCAGTGGGTTGGCTGTGGGAGCAGGGCCAGCGGAGGCGGCAGGCGGCAGGGGTGGAAGCGTTTCTGCACCACAGGGTGCTGAGCACAGTGGGAGGAGCCCGTGGGCGTGGGGTGGGGTGGGGGTACTGTGTTGGGGCACGGGGAATGCGGGGACCTGAGGACACAGAGAGTCTGGAAGCAGGAGGCTCCCCGCAGGCTGGCGCTCCAGGAGAGGGAGGAGCGGGCCTGGGGCAGAGATGTGGGCGCAGGGGAGAGGGGCTGGTGCAGCGCATTCTTCCTGAGGGGCAGCAGAGGTTACGGATTCTGGTTTTGAAGTGACTTCAGGCTCACTGCCGAGAATTTCTGTGTGCCCTTTGTCCCGAGTCCTCAGACAGTATCTGATTGCTTCTTGTTACATCCGTGCTGGCTTTTCCTTTTTCTCTCCGTACACACACACACACACACACACACACACATTCTTCCATACCATTGGAGAGCTAGTTGCAGACATAATTAATTCCTCCTTTACCCTATATGGCCTGTACTGTATATTTCTTAAAAAACAAGTAACCACAGTAAAAAGATCAAAATCAGGAAATCAGCATTGCTATAACGCGATTGCGAAATCTCCCAACCTTACTCACTCATCAATGGTCACGGTGATGACTTTGATAGCCACAGAGAGAGTGTTTTGTTTTCTGATTTTCCCGCAGCAGGACCCAGTCCAAGGTCGGGATCATGTTTCTTTAGCCTCCTCTGACATGGGGCAGTCCCTCTGTGACTCTTTGTCCTCCAGACCCTTGGCATTTTGGCGGCACGAGGGCCAGTTGCTTTGCAGAACGGCCCTCCTTTGGGTTCATCGGCTGTTTCCGCCTGCTTAGATGCAGGCTGGGCATGTCGGGCAGTTTATTCGTTTTTGTGGGTTGCCGCAACACGTTCCCAGAGGCTGGGTGGCTTAGGCAGATACTTACTCTCTCACAGTTCTGGAAGTTGGAAGTCCAAGTCTCTTCATGTTTCCAAACTTCCTGTTCTCATTGGGCCACCTGTCAGATTGAATGAGGTCCACCCTAAGGACCTCGTTTTAACGAGATCACCTCATAAATGCCCTATCTCCTAAGAGGGTCACATTCCAAAGTCCTAGGGGTTAGGGCTCCAACATCCATTGGGTAAGGGGAGGCGCGGGGAGGGGGGCGGCGTGCAGCGGAGTCCAGCCCTGAACAGTCAGGGCCGCCCCAGAAGGGATGTGGTGTTCTGCTCCTTGCGTTCCACCAGGAGGGTCATCGTGCGGTTGGTTGGTCCTAGTACTGCTGATGTCAATTCAATCACGTGGGTAGGATAGGGTCTGCCGGGTTTCAATGTTTCTCTTTGTAAATAGAAAGTATCTGCTGGGGAGATACTTTGAGGCTATGCAACTGGCCTGTTCTTCAGTGGCTCTGTCACTCCTTCTGGATTTATTTGCTTCCTCCTCTAACCCAGAGCTTTCCCTGGGGCGGGGAGAGGGGGTGGGGGAGGGGTGCACTAGGTGGCAGGGAGAGCGGCAGCCAGAGGAGTTGGGAGGCCTGGGGTTCCACTCTGTGTTCACTGCCCGGGCGTGAAGGGTCAGGCATGAGGGGACCTTCCCCCCGTCTGTAAAACAGGGATGGGAATGATTCTGCAGGCGGTGGGATTAGGGAATACACAGAAAGGTGTTCCTCACTGCTCATAAACCTTATCCATGAGGGCCGTGTATCTCCCAAGGCCCTTGGACAGGCAAGGGAAGAGCAAAGGGGCTTTCTCATGGCCAAGGGCAGAAGGACCTGTGAGAAAAGTCGAGCCGAGCTGTCCCGGAGAGAGGGAGCCCTGGGCCCTTGGCTATGACTCAGAGCTTGTTAACCCGGGAACGAGCCCAGCTCTTCCACTCACCCACTGGAGACAGACCCCGGAAAAACTGCTCGTCTCGCTGGCAACTCGATCTCCTCACCTGTGTCATGGGCTTAATGACAAAACCTGACCGGTAGGGTTGTGGGAGGATTAACTAAAAGAAGCCACATAAAGCGCTGAGAATAGCTGGCAGGTTGTAATAATTAGAACACAACAATGATCAACTTATTATTTTTTAAAAAATTATTTGCCCTGGCTGGTGTGGCTCAGTGGATTGAGCACCAGCCTGCAAACCTCAAGGTCACCCGTTTGATTCCTGGTCAGGGCATACGCCTGGGTTGCAGGCCAGGTCCCCGGCTAGGGGCCTGGGAGAGGCAGCCAATCGAAGTTTCTCTTGCACGTCGATGTTTCTCTTCCTCTCTGTCTCCCTCCCTTCCCCTCTCTCCAAAAATAAATAAGTAAAATCTTTAAAAAGTTTATTTATTACTAGGGTTTTTTGTTGTTGTTGTTAGATAAATTAACCTCTTCATTATAGGCTAGCAACGCTTCAGATTGTGGAGCTTCTACTGGTCTCTCAATGCCTTCAGTCTTCTGACGGCGGACTTGACTGTGACAGCAGAAGTGGTGTTGTAGGTCCAGGCACCGCCAGCGGCCGTCTTCATGCAGGAGCCCCAGTGCCAGATCCCCACCACTCGCCTCTTCATCTTGGTTTTGCCACAGAAGGAGCAAGTGTGCTTGGCGTGCTGGCTGGTCTCAATCTTCTCCACCATCTTCCTGAGGGGGGCGCCCTAACGGGTGCCGTATTTACCGACGATTCCGACTTTCTTGGTGCGTCGAGTCATTTTGCCGCAAAGGAGGTCGGACCCCAAGAGCTATTACTAGTTTTTTAGAGGAACCGATAGATCATCGCCCCACTCGGTGTGTTCTCAGTGGGTTGGGCTTCATTGCATGAACCAAAGTGGGTGGGGTGGCGGCCCCCCCAAAAGCTATGTCCACATTGTTCGTAGCCCCTGGGAACAGTGAACGCTACCTGACTTAGAAAAAGGGGCCTTTTGCAGATGTAATTAGAGGTCCCCTGAGGGATCACCCTGGGTGACCTGGTGGGCCCTGAGTCCACTGACAGATGACAAATGTCCTCAGGAGAGGCGCGGAGGGAGAGGAAGGCGGCCGGCCGTGCGAGGGGAGGGGGAGGCCGGAGGGATGCAGCGGCCGGCACGGAAGGGGAGGTGGACCCTGCCCTGGAGACCCCGGAGGGAGGCAGCCCTGCTGGGACCCGGATTCCGGACTCCCGGCCTCCAGAACTGGGAGGGAATACATTTCTGACCCCGAAACCCTCAGAGAAGAAACCCCTCTGTCCCTCGGAGGCAGCCGGGCAGTGTGGGCACCTGTTTGGGGGGGACCCCAAGAGCTCCGTGGCCAGGAGGGCAGGGTGGGGCAGCGGGAAGGGCAGGGCCCCGGCCGAGAGGGAAGAGGCAAGCCACTCCCCTGGCTGGGCCCTGCTTCTCCATCTGTGAACGGAGCAGCTGTGTCGGCCTCATGGGCTGTGCCGGGAGGCGCCCTTATTCACGAAGCACCCGGCACGCAGTAGGTGCTCATAAAAATCTGTTTTCCCTCTGGAGGAGCAAT